GAAGATTCATAGACATTGATGAGAAGAGCTACGCATACACGTAAATGAATACATTAACATATACAAATGTATATATCCCAGATCTGGAAATGTGAAGGTTATTGAGGCTTACGAAATCCATACAGTGTATTGGTTGGCTGTAAGAGGTGAACCAAGAACGATAAGCACGTGAGATTGGAAGGAAAGTCACGTGAGAGTGGGAGCTTGGACACCTCTCATGGTGGAGATTCAGGAGTAATGAGCGGGTGGGCAATGATTAGAGTGTGAGGAGGAGGAAGAAAAGGATCCATGGCAGGCGTGTGCTGAGAGAGAGAGAGACAGACAGAATTGGCCCAATTGGGTTACTTAGACGTGATTGGTTTGGGCAATTGGGCTTACGTTATGAAATTACGGGGGTGTACGTGGCATTTTTGAGGTTTCCCATTAGTGATACGTGACAGGGATGGCTTGATGGAAGCCAAAATGTTGGGCCGAAAGGAAAGTGTAGGACAAGGCCTAAGCCCATTGTTGATCTGGTAGAAATCCATCCAATCATGCATTTTTTGAGTCCGACTGATTGAAATTCGAGCGATTTCAAAAATTATTAATCTTATTGGGACATAATTTAAAAATATAATTTGAGAATTTAAATCCTTGTGGTCGTTGGATTGACAGTAAAGTGTGATGATGCACAAAAATGGTTTTGCACACCACCTGTCAAGTATAGATAATAAGTGCAATGAAATCAACGAAAAAATTAGAGAAGACACAATTTATAGTGGTTCGGTCAATTCGACCTACGTCCACTCTCCAATGGCTTCAGTCGCCGGGTATTTTATTGATCCAAAGTATGGAGAATGGAGATACAAGCTTTGAGAGGAGGAATGGAGAATCAAAGAAAATAATAATCTCCGGTCGTCGGTTCGTCTTCTGTAAGTCTCTTATGGAGCATATCCCTCCTCTCCCAGATTAGAGCCATTTTATAGTAGCTAAGAGATTATTCTTGTGGAGATCATGACATATCCTCAAGGCTTCTTTATCGCAGCTTAGAGATTGTCTTTGGTGGAGATCGCGACTTATCCTCAACGAGAGGAAGAGGTTGGGGAGCTCTTCATGAAACGTGGTCAATGATTGGACCGTTTTCTTCCTTCGGTGGTGCAAATAAACTTCCCATGCTCTCCTCTTGGTGACGTGCTAAGCAAGAAGTCTGGCCGGCCTTGGGCTCCTTAAGGCGGTGCAGATAAACTTCCCGTGCTCTCCTCTTGGTGACGTGCTAAGCAAGAAGTCTAGCCAGCCTTGGGCTCCTTAAGGCGGTGCAGATAAACTTCCCGTGCTTTCCTCTTGGTGACGTGCTAAGCAAGAAGTCTAACCGGCCTTGGGCTCTTTTGGCTTGGTGGATTCACGATGAGGTTGGGCTCCTCAACCGGGTTGGGCTTTAATACATAAATTGGACTACTTGGGCTTAACCCATCAAAGTGCATTCAATTTTGAGATGTACTGACAATCCAATGACTACAATCAATTTTTTTTTTGTTCAACGGTCAAGTATATTTAGGTCAGCTTACGTGCACCTTAACTAATCTCAATTCCATTTTCGTCAAAAGCAAGTCGTCTATGCTAGAATTAAAATATTCACAGGATATATCCCTCATGGTCTGGCCTCAAGAGATTGTCAAGATTTAAATTCAAGATATCTGGATTTACAGCTCGTCTATGGTACCATTGTCTATGTTTACCACTTAAGTTATTAGTAAACCTTCAAATTAAATCCTTAAATTATATCCCATTAAAATTACTCTTCAAATATTTATTCATTACAGCTTCCATTCATTGTAGTCCCCCCCCCATTCTCTCTCTCTCTCTCTCTCAATATTTCTCTTTTACTCTCCTCGCTATTTTCTCTCATTTCTGTTATAAAACTTGTTTCACCTTTATTTTATAATTAGGGATAATTCGTGTCTAAAAATACAGTATAATGTGAATAATTTTAAGAGAAATATTAATGATCATTAAATAAATTTATTTGAAATCATCAAACTCATTTATTAAAACTTAAGTTATTTTATATTATAGATACTTTTGGATGACGAGATGGAGGGTGGCGTGACTAATTTCGGGATGACCAAGTCGTTATTAGTCCTTGTCAGTTATCCTCATGTCCTATGACTAGAAGCACCTAGAAGCACCGTGTTGTTGAATTTTGAATATTATCTAACATAATTGATTTTATTTAATCTATCTTTGACCATGTCATTCGGCTATTTAATGAAACTTTTTTTAAAATTTAATTATAATACACTAAAATTGTTGATTATATGCGTCAGCTTGAAAACTTTCAAGTTTAGAACGTTGACTTTAAAATGTGTTCAAAACATAACCTCCCCGTATATCTTGTTGGGCATGAGTTTTTAATCCAAAAATGTATATAGAGGGTGGTGTGACTAGCTCTCTTACACGACTTAAAACTCACTCATCACTAATTAATGTGAAACTCGTTTAACACTTTAACAATCTCTTTCACGAATGGAGATTTGTTATAAATGATTAGTACTGTTCTCTTATCTTACATAAAGAGCCGAGTCCACCCGATGGCGTGGACCATAATTCTTATATTAATATGGAGTTAGTAATTTTAGCTTAGTCCTAATAGTTAAGTTTTTATGCGAGTGGGCTCATTAGAACAATTTAATAAAAAAATCGACATAAAATTTGATGAAATACAAAAAATACACCCTAAAAATTAAATTATACATGATTATAAATAGACTTAGTATAAATTTAATAAATTAGAATTTTCGTGATTGCGTCTCCCCCACGAATTCATCTTTATCTTATTCAACTCAAGGCCCACCTAATATTAACTCGTAAAATTTGACGAACTCCTCACCAAGTACTCCAGGGGGCGCCACCCTTGAAAACTTCCATCAATTAGTTAGAATGCTTGAATGAAATATAAAATTTAAGCTTACAAAATATCTCACTATATTAAATATTTTTTTTATTATATCATTTAAAATTTATTTTTATTTATTATGTTTTTTTAAAATATTAATAAAATTTTCTCAACATGTATATATTATCGTGTATATATAATGTCTCAAGTAAAAATTATGTTAAATTAAAAATTAAATAATTGAATATGTGATAAAAATGAGTGATGTGATATTTTTAAGAGTAATTTTATTTGAATCTAAAAAATTTGACATAATTTACTAACATAATAATGTGACTTCAATGGAGTCATTGGATTAATATCAAGTTCTAATATTTGATGGAGCCCATAATTAATTCAAAGATTATAATAAATTAGGTCAGTAAATTAATTCTCAATAACCTTTCTCTATTTTTAAGGGAATAAAAATTGGAGTTGCAAGGTGTTTTATTATGGGGAGAATTACCTTCGGACCTCCCTGATGTTTGTCACTTAAACATTCAAATCTCCTTACGTTTGAAATTTTATATACAAATCTTCTGAAGTTTATCATTTAATCACTCAAATCTCTTGACGTTTGAAATATTACACACAGACCCCTAACATTTATACGCACGTAACACTTAAACCTTGCCATTAATGTCAGTTAGTATATCCGTAAGTAAATTACATTCAGACTCTCTAAAGTTTATAAGAGTGTAATACTTAGACCCTTTAAATTTAAAATATTATACTTAGACTAAAAATACTTCAATCAAATATAGAATATTAAATATTTTAAATTGCATAACTAAAATTCATGTTATATTATGATATTTATTGAAATAAAATTTAAAATAAAAATTTAATTTTTTTCTTAAAAAATTATAGGATTAATTGCACTAGAGGTCCTCAAAGTTTGAGATTTGTCTCATTTTGGTCCCTAAAATATTGAATATGTTTCTATATGGTCCTTTAAGCAAACAATGTCCAAATTGATAACGATTTTTTAACATAAACTTGTCACGTAATAGCTAAATATAAATAAAAAATAATTTTAATAGCTTTTAAACAAAATTTGGGTAGCTTTTAATAAAAAAATGTGTAATATGGGTAGCTTTTGACCAAAATTTGGATAGTTCGTGATCAAAATTATGTAATTTATGTAGATATTTAACCAAAATTTGAGTAAAAATTTGATCAAGAGTTATCTAATTTATTTTTTTTATCCATACTTAAGTATCATGTGACAATTTTATGATAAAAAATCGTTAGCAATCTGGACACTGTCTGCATGAGGGACCATATAAAAATATATTTAAAATTTTAGGGATCAAAATGATACAATTGAAACAATGAGGACTAAAATAAGACAAACTTCATACTTTAACAACTTTTAGTGCAATTAACCCAAAATTATAATTATTATACAATTATATTAACTATTATAATTTAATTTAGTCGTTTAAGAACTACAAAATTACACTAGAAAAAAAAAAAGAACTACAAAATTACTCCAATTAAAGCTAGAATATATTATTTTCATTATAGTTTAATCTCTTGTTTAATTTTTTAGTTTTATTCTGAAAGATAGTATAATTATATACTAATTATGATTTTTTAAGAAAAAATAATTTTTTTATTTTTTATTTTATTTCAATAAATGACATAATAGAACATAAATTTTACCAAAATTCATATTCTATTATGAATGACTTAGACCATTTATTTGATTTTTTAGTTTTATTAGAATAGATAGTATAATTGTATACTAATTATGATTTTTTAAGAAAAAAATAATTTTTGATTTTTGATTTTATTTTAATAAATAATACAATAGAACATGAATTTAAATTTAAAATATTTAATATTTTATCTTTGATTAGAATATTTTTAGTTTTAATATAATATTTTAAACTTGATGAGTCTAATTATTATATATTTAAAAAACTTTAAAAGGTCTTAGTGTAATTTATTAAAATATATTAATTTTACGTGTACAAACTTCAACGGGTCTATGTATAATATTACATCCGTCAAGGGTCCGAATGTAATTATCCTTTTATTATATAGATGGCATCAATTTCCCTCTCCTCCTCTCATCCCACACATTCCAGTCGTCTTCCTCCCTTTCTCTCGTCTCTGCAACTCTCTCTCTCTCTCATATGTCGACTCCTTCAGAAACCATAAACTTCTGCGGACTCCTCTCCGAAACAAATCGCATACGCCGTACCAATTCTCTCCTCTTCTTTGCCCTCTCTGGCCTTTTCCTCTTCCCCCTCTCTTTATCTACCCTCATCTACCCCACTCTTCAATCCAGCCTCTCCCAATACGATGCCGTCAATACCCAAATCCTCCATCACAACCCCACTGAAACTCTGATTCTCTATCTGCTCTACACCCTCTTCGTCACCCTCCTCTCTCTCTGTGCCACATCCACAATTACCTACACCGCCTTCCATGGATTCTACGGTACACCCGTCAAATTCAAATCCGCCATTAAATCACTCGTCTACTCAGTCCCACCTCTTGTGATCACGATGGTAGTTTCACAGATAATTGTAGCTCTGATAGGTATGATTTTCGGCATTCTTGTCGCTTTGTTGTACACAGGGTCGCAGTTTTTTGGGTTCGAAATCGATTATAATTCGAATTATTTCATTGGGCTTTGCATATTTCTCGCGATCTTACTTGGGTTGATCGTGATTTGGTTACAAGTGAATTGGGCCTTGGCTAGTGTAATTGTGGTGGTGGAATCAAAATGGGGGATCGAGCCGTTGCGTCGAAGTACCCATTTGATGAAGGGAATGAAAGGACTTTGGTTGTCGATACTGTTATTGTACGGGTTCCCTATTGGGTTCTTCAGCTGGGCAAATTCGACGCCGGTGGTAATTTCCAATGGGTTTTGTGATTGGGGACTTTGGTTGTTCATTTTGAAGATTCTGTCTACCTCTTTTTTGGTGAATTTGTTCATGCTTCAGATTTTGGTAGCAAATACAGTGTTGTACATGTATTGCAAGGCTTTTCATGGTGAATTGGCGTTGCAGAGTGGTGATGAGTTTGCACCAGAGTATACTAGCGTGCCCATTGATGATGACAAAGTAGCTCACGGTGTTTAAGAATTTCGAAGGTTGATGAATTTGAGGTTATTCGATGTCACTCCAGTTCCTTTGCAGTTGAATTTCTATATGTAATTGTATTTTTTTTTTTTTTTTTCTGGTTCACCTTTCAGCGTGTCCGGGTTACCTGTCCAATCAAAAATAAATTATCTATGTTAGAATTATGATATTGCCGAAGACAAATCTCGGTCAATGTGTATACATACATACACTCTTTTAAGTTTTTGGAGTGAAGGTTTACCATGTCAAAATACTATTTTTCAGTGTTTTTTTTTTCTTTCTAATTTAATAAAAATGTATCTTGTGTGTAAAATTTTTATATTTTTTGTTCTTGTTTATTATTTTGTAATTTCTTTTAATAAATGATTGTAAACTACCTAATTCAAAAGCAATGACTCAGATGAATGTAGTGCGGTGTCGTAGCCTTAATGGGTTATTATATATAATAAAAAATGGTGAAAACAACTCTATATATAAGGCTATAATATAACTTCATCTCACATTTATTCGTCAACGATTGGATTTGGATTAGATTTCATCCACTCGTATTTGAATTCAATTTAAAATTTCTAATTTGAATCCAATTCAAATTTGATTGGATTTTTTTTAAAATAAAATTCAAAACCATTAAAAAAAAAAATTGATTAGATTCAACAAATTACATATACATCTGAATTTTAACTCAATTTGAGGAAATAATTACCTAATTTGTGTATTTATTTATATACATATAATTGGTCTTAATTTAAATACAATACATAACAAAAAATCATATTCGAAATTAAATTTGAATTAGACAAAAACAAAATCCAATATTCAAGTGTTAATCTTACATATATGAGTAATAATTCAAGGAGTAGCTCAAGTGGTAATTAGGAGTGTCAAATATGTCAGGTTAAACGGTTATGTGTCGATTAAACAGGTAACAGGTGAAAAACATGTAAACTTGTACATGACAAGTTTAACAAACAGGTGAAAAATTTCAACACAAATACAATCTGTTTAATAAACAGGTAACGCGACACGACTCGTTTAACCCGTTTAATTTAAAAAAAAAATTATATTAACAAATTTTAATACACTACCTTTTTTTACTGTCAATTGTATTTACTTCAAAAAAGAGGAAGTTCTAACCAAATTTTACATAAAAATTAGATTTGAAGACTAAAAAAATACCTTTTATATCAACAAATTTTAATACACAACTTTTTTACTATCAATTCTCTTTTCTCTATAACTTTTTTTTCTGGGAGGTAATGGGTTTCAATATGTCATTCTCTTTACTCACTTTTTAGCATAGAATAACTTGAATGTGAATGTAAGCTAACAGCTTATTTACATGATTGACAGATCTCTACATCAATTGCCACTTGATTGTGGGTTTTATATTAACATGGTCTGAGACTGAGACTTTGGTTAGTCATGGATCAAGTCCCTCATTGGAAGTTTCTAATTTTTTATGTGTTTGTTGCGGTATGCTTTCTTGTACAAATTTACCTTAGATCATTTTTTTTGCTTTGTTGGATTTAAATGAAGCATGTTGTTTATGAAAATTTTCTTGGATTAAATAATTCCTAAGAATGAAAACCTATGAAAATAAAAACCCCTGAAAATGTGCATGTGTGATGATGAACTTATAGTGAGGACATCATTTTCACTAAAATTATAGAAATTCCTATTTATTTGTTACGAAATTGATTATAGATCAATGTTCCCAATTTTGAATACACACAATTTTGAGCTTCAATACCTCTTGCTTGATTTTTGTTCATTCATTGAGATAGCGATTGATTTATAAGTAGTTTATGTCATTTTGTTTTGTTATTAAATTAGTCCGTGATTGAAAAATTTTAATGGTTTATTTCAATTTTTTTAAGAATATTATATTATGTCTGTCACTTTTACAAGTATGGATATAATTATTTGTGTAGGAAGAATTGTGTTGTGGTAATTGATACATAGTTGGATTTTAGTGTGCATACGACATGATTTGATTATAATTATGAAATATATAAGTCTTGTAGACAGTTTAATATATTTGTGAATCATATTTTAAGAGGATACTTTGTCGAAAAATTGAAATTTTTTTAAAGAATATCCCCATTTTGACCTTTTTTTTTATTTCACTAAATTCATGACATTAAAAATAACCAAACGATTTCAGTTTAATGCATGTTTATATTCATTGTTTGATTCTTTCGTGTTTAAGAACTATGTATAGTGCGTGAACACACATAATATAAGGCGAGTTTAGGCTTTTAGTGTAGTACGTGTCCGAGTTCAATATTTGATTATTTTGTATTCAAATAAAATGTTTAATTTTTTTTTATTATATCGTATCTTCAAACACGATTTCCCAAGTTATAACTAAAATACTATCATACACATATATTAATTGTTTAACACGGCCTCTAGACTTATTGACCATAAAAACTTTCCACACGCTTGACAACCCCAAACAAATGAGTATAGATATTTTACGCCCCAATATTTATGAAGAAATACGATTTTGCCACTAGAATTACACTTTGACCGTATTACACCCTCCACTTTTTTATGGTTCTTCACTTGAGTGATCAACCAGGGTGTTTATGTCAATTCAGCTCAATCTCAATGAAGAATATATTATTATCTTAATAAACATGACCATAACCTGATCTCAGTAAATCTTTTATGGTCTTGTCTCAATGAGTTGCTCGAATAGTAAAAAGTACGAATTATAAACTCAGATATCATGAGTTTGAATATTGACTTCCTTTTGAGGCCAAACCATAAATACCATAATCATAACATAAATGATTTGTCTTTGATTAGACTTAAAAAAAGATTATTCGAGATGCTTATAAGAACCTTGACCATAGAAAAAAAGAAGAGTAAACTGTACAAATGACTCTTATATCAATTATTCGTATCAATTGAATCCCTAAACTTGAAAAGTTTAGCAATTAAGTTTTTGAATTAATTTTCATGTCAATTGAGTCTTTAAACTTTTTAAAATTTTAACAATTAAGTCATTTTGTCAACATTTGTTAGGTTTTTGGATGAAATGCCTCATATGTCCACCACATGGACAACACAATATATTACTTACTATATTAGGGGCATTTTAGACTATTCGTTCGACATGTATTAGACAAAGAATTCTATTCATTACACCCATTAAACCTAAACTTATTTTATACCTATCAAACGAAACAGATCAACAAACTATTTGAAGAAGACTATTTTGTTTGAAAATCTATCAGATGAAGAACCCCATTCTTTAGGGTTAGGGTTTCGGTTGATGGGTGTAAGAAATGGGGGTTCTTCATCTAATAGGTTTTAAAAGAATAGTCTCAAATATGCCTAATCTATTGTTCACGTGGTGAGAATGTGAGACATTCCATCCAAAAACCTAATGGATGCTTACATAAAGGCTTAATTGAGAAAATTTTAGAATTTAATGATTTAATTGACACAAAAATTAGTTTAGGGATTTAATTGTTAAAATTTTAGATTTTAGGACCATAATTGACACGAAAATTAGTTGAAGGAGTTAATTAACATAAAAGTTGTAGTTTAAGGGTTATTTGTGTAATTTACTCAAAAACAAAAACAAAAAAAAAAAGAAAGTAAAATTTGCTTACCGCCACTAACACGTCTGAAGAAGTATCAATCTCCATATGTTTCTCTCTCTCTCTCCCTCTCCCTCTCCTTCTACCATGTCGACCTTTTCACAAACCCCAAACCTCAACGGAGTACTCTCCGAAACAAAACGCACAACCAATGCCCACTCTCCCCACTTCTGAGCTCTCTTTCTCCTCTTTCTCTTGTCCTTCGCTTCCTCTCGCATCATCTATAGCATCCTTCAGTTCACCTTCTCCCAAAACAACGATGTTAACTACCAATTCTTTTGCCTTTCCACCTTCACCCTTCACCATCTCCTCCCTGAAACCCTGATTTGTCCTCTCCTCTTCGCCTTCTTCATTATCTTCTTCTCAATCTGTGCCATAGCCACGATCACTTACAACACCTTTCCATGGATTCTACGGCAAACCCGTCATATTCATTCCCACCATCAGATCAATCTCCTTCTCATTCCTACCCTTTGCACGGGAGATTTTCTTTAATAGTTTGAGATAACAATCTTCAGCCTAGTAAATTTGCAATAGTCACAGGGTCAGAAAAAGGGGGTCAGGTGAACACCTGTCTTGTCTTCTTCGAAGCTTAAGTCAGTATAAGATCGATGACTCAAACTCAATGTATCAAGTATTTTGGTTCAATATTGCGTACCTTTGTTCATTTTTCTGAGGAGTATTGATACCTGAATTAGCAATGAGTGCAAAGACTTTAAGTTTCATCTGAACATTCAATGTCTGACACCTTTACCCAAGAAGATCTGAATATTCTCCCCCAAGATCTTCATTCATTTACTACAAGGATGATAGGTACCTGACACAAGCCGAGCACCAATGGCTATTCCCGGGCACTCAAGTGCCTATGATTGGCACCTGACACCTACTTTTAGGTCTCTCTCAAAATCATTCATATTGAATTTTACCTTCCTCTTCTCACTCTTTACTTTCTCTCTCTAACAGTGGCAGAGGAGGAAGAGTCTAGGGCTACCCTGAAAAAATATATATATTTTTTAGTTATATTAGTTTTATATATTTTTTTGGATTAATTGGGCCCACTACAATGATTTATGAAAAACAAAATTAATTAGGTCAGACAAGTTGGGTACTAGAAAAAAAAACAAAAACAAAAAGTTCATATCAATCTCTTAAAATTAGCAAGCTAAAATTGATTATTTAGAGTATTGGTATGATTTGTTGAAGCCTCATTTGGTTTAAAAAAATATGGAATTTGTAATTAAAAAAAAATTATAGAATATTGTTTTTATTTGCGTCAAAATCTGTATCTAAAATAAAAAATAGAGCGGCTTCTACAAGTTCATCCTACGATCTCAAATTCATTCATCCAACGGTCAAGAAATTACCATTTTTTTTCCTTAATATTTTCCCTCACAACCAATCAACGATTACGGCTGATCTTGGAATACATCTTACGGTCTCAAATTTATTCATTCAACGGTCAAGAAATTAACATTTTTTCTTTAATATTTTCCTTCCCAACTAGTCAAAAATTACGGTTGACTTGAATTACAAGATTTATCGCTATTGATATCAACTGTGTAGTGTAATATTTTAAATTTGTATAAGAGACAATAACAATATTTTGATCAAAAAAAATTCATCAATTTAACAGATTAAAAAAAAATAAGGGTGCTGCTTAACACATTTATATTGAATATAATTAATTTTAATTTTATTTATTT